ACTCGACTGTGTTATTACACAAAAACGCCTATTCGGTATTAATCATTTCCTGCTGAAGAGTATATATTTCGAGAATAACTTCAAATTCATGAAAACAAATTGATTTGAATATATTTTCAAACTATCAAGATCAAAAAGAACAAAATACCTAGGTGGAGTTCATATGAACACTACCAAACAAAAATAATTGAAAAAAATAGGGATTTCAACATTGAGAGATATAATAATAAATATAACGAACTGAATAACAGAAAACCCAGAACCACGATATATAAATAAATAAGGAAAAAAAACTTTGAATCCTCATACAAACAAAACCAAACAGAATAAACTGTTGAAGTGATCAATATAACAAAATAAAAAAAATAATATTCATCACAAAATGAAATGCACTAATAACAAAAAATATACATAAATACATCTGAATCACAAACTAAAAATTGAAATCTTGACTATATATCTTATCCTGAAAGTTTAGTGATTTTCATTTTTTTATTATTGGACTTGATCGAACTATTTTTGATTCTGCAATAATTGTTCAACAGAATATTCGAAATGGTTTTAGAGAATATTCTGATGATTTCATCAAAAGACCCACAACTGCAACATTGAATTTCGGAATAATTGAGAAGGGAATTGATTTTAATTTCTGCAAAATTTTCCAAAACTTTATGTTGTGACTTACATTGTAGAAATGTTGTTTCGAATTATTCAGACACCAATATTCGTACGTCTGAACCATACGCCATTCAGAAATAAAATGAGTAAATAATAAAAATTATATCGTTTATCGCCCTTTAGTAGTCCAAGGATTTACCACGAAATTGTAATATACAGCGAAATTTGGGTAAGTAGGTATAATGGCTCATTTTTTACGCGCTCTTCATATTTAATTTCTTCCGGACTAATTATAGGTAACTCTTCCATTTTTTCACTATTCAATTGATACATTATCCTAGTTTGATATACTGAGTTTGTTTTATCTTATTCCGATTCCAAATTTGCAAAAAATAGTATTCTGTAGTACAACGTCCTGATTTTCAATAAAATGGAATTCCTTTAAAACGCCATAACTCGGTATTGATTAATCCTATTGGATTAATTTTTTCACCAAAAGTTGGGGAATTCGTTGGGGATCATTTCGTCTCGATTGAGTGTGCTTCTAAAATTTATAGTAAATGAGCTATGGCCTATCAATTACGAACGCACCAGTACGAACTGTTGTGAAATCTCAACCTACTAGTGTGACGTCAGCGTCGAGGGAGAGGGGATAGACTACGGCCCGGTGAGATAGAGTAGGCCCTGTATGGATGCAACAAGAGTGTAACGTGTTTAGATCTATATTAAACAATAAAAATCAACTCAATTTCCATTATTATCACTATATTTCTTCACTCCACTGCAACTAGCCAAGGGAAAAAGAGATAAATTGATAATATTGCAGCTGCTATTTTTATTAATTGAAGTGTATTGGGATTTTTTTCTGTCATTTTTTCTTTAACAATTCACCTACCTGCTGGCATCAATCTTTGATATTTACTTGCTTCGCCGTTTACATTTCCGGATCGACCGGAAATGATCCCAACTTTCCATTTTTTAATGAGACATCCTATATGTACTTCCACTTATTTTGAGCGAGAATGACATTCTTAATCCAATACGGAACATCACTTGTCAATATTTGAGGAACATAGTCAGTTCTACTCAAAGTTTTATTTTTCTATCTATATAGAACGCCATGATTCAAAATCGCTCCATTCCTGATCAATAAACATGAAAAAAATACGACTTTGAGGTTTACGACTTCACAGTCGTTATGAGAAAGTTCTGAAAGTCGCAAATATATGAATTTTTCCAGTTTACTAATTGATAATTCCAAATGGAGAGGGTGTGGCTCCTCGGCATTTCATGTGAAATAATTTTCTTATGAATAACTTCATATCACACACTCTGGCGTTGGAGTCATTTCCGGTCTAACCATAAATACGGCAAAGTAAGGAAAAATATAAGAAAAAAATTAAATTGAACTATGATATACAATCCCCAAATTACGTTTCTGTATCTGCAACAATAAAACAGTTAATGGGATGAGTCACCTTGAAGAATCACCCAGTATATTATTACTATCTCAACCAAACTAATTTGCTTACAGACACTTTTGATTATTTGGATTAAAACATCACAGGAACAGGTCAGCACCCATGAGAATAATACAGAGGAGTAATACTCCGGTATAAAGTATGCGAGACAGATATCATTTTAAAATTGCATTTTGTAAGGTGGAATAAAATGCTTTATTCATATTTCACGTGCAATATGAATTTCCACATACATTACAGAAGTTTTGTTTAAAAATAAGCCTGAATGAGAAACTTTGGTCGGCGGCAAGAGATAGGTATAGCCAGAATGATGTTATTTAGAAGAGTAATTTGAATTCGGAAGTAAATGAGAACTCCTAAATATCACTCAGATATACTGAGAAGAGAACTGGAATTGGTTTTTGCTCTCCCCAATTCGACACAGAAAAAAAGAATTTGTTGCATCAACAAATTATTTATGCTTGAATTATTTTTGTTGGACTAAGCAATTTCTTGTTGAATCAACCAGATACATGATCATTTCATGGAAGCAGCTTGTTCAAATCAAGAATGTAGTCTAATTGAATCAACAGTATAATATCAATTCCATCAACAAAATATATGGTTTTATCAAAAACAATTTATGTTGATCCAAGATAATGTCGATGTTGATTCAACTATAAACATTTTGTTGATTTGATCAAATAATGATCATTTTGATGGGAATATATCTTTGAAACAACATACAAGTTCTCTTATTCCGATGTAGCAATGAACTTGTTTCGAACGGATCATTTGCTTGAATAGAGCAACGAAATATGTAATATCAATGAAATATTTTGTTCATTCTACATCAACTTGAATTTCCGCCTCTAGATGGCGATCATTTCGCCCCGGCTATGGCTGCCTCGAATTCATTATATACGTGAAGCCTGATTCTTCGTGTTTGAAATATCAGCTGGATGAATCGAACTTAGGATGATTAGCAATCCGAAATAGTTTTCCATCAGCTGAGGAGAAGTAAAGACTGAAGATCTAAGCTAGAAGTCGACTTGTTTCCTAGTTTTGTTTATTCTATTGATGTGAAATTTCAGAAAATTCCCGAATATTGAATTTGGTTCACCAAAACAATTTGTCGAATGGATATATAATTCCTCTCGAATCAACAAAATATTTCATTGAATTAACCAAATATTTCATTGACTCGAACAAATATTTCATTGAATCAACCAAATATTTCTTTGAATCACCCAAATATTTCGTTGAATCAACCAAATATTTCGTTGAATCAACTAAATATTTGATTGAGGCAATATATTTTTATTTTGAATCAATCAAAATGATTGATTGATCCAATTCAATATCTCTTCATGAACAATTCATGAATGTGCTTGATTGAAGAGGATCCAGAGTCAATGCAAGACATATTTACTAGATTCAAACTTCAAATTCGCTCTGAAACAAGATATAGATTTACTCATTTCAAGATTATATTTTGTCGTGCATATATGACACTTTTATTCGCTCCATTCAATTAAATTTTGCTTGATTCAACAATTCCTTTTTTTCCGTGGATAAGACGCTCGAGAGTTATTTCGAATAATTCTCGAGGAATTAGAAATTCGCTTCTGAGATCCAGCTTATCCAAAATAATTTTCGAACAATTCCTGTACCTCATAATGCTCCAGCGATATACAGGGTATGTCACAACGAGCTTCATACTATCTCTATATGCATATATATATACATGCTTATATTCGAGAATACGCTCTTTTCAATCAGAATATTTTCAGCGATGCAGTGTTGCCGCCTCTATCAAAAAGTAGCAACAACTTTGTTATTTCAAATAGAATACCCTGTATTTCATTGCATTTTTAGATTCTTCCTGGAGCGCTGATTCCATCGATGCATCACACTTGGGGTCTATCAAAAATGATTAGAGAGATATAGGGTGTTCAAAATCGAGATTTTTCAACTTTAGGATTTGTTCATGTCGAAACTATTCATTATCGGCCAAATCGGCTCACATGTCTCCATCTCAACTTTTGATAAACTATTAACTGATAACTAAACGGGACAGATACAGGGTGATCAGGATTCTGGATCTTGAACCACCTTATATCTGTTCCGATTGAATATCAGTAAATAGTGAAACAAAATTTGAGATAGACACATGTGAGCTGTTTTGACCGATAATGAATAGTTTCGACACAAAAAAATCTTGAAGTTGAAAAATCTCGATTTTGAACACCCTATATCTCTGTAATCATTTTCGATAGACCACAAGTGTGATGTATTCATGAAAGCAGCTCTTAAGGGAGCATCTAGAAAAGTGATAAAATACAGGGTGTTCCTGTTGAAATATCAATGTTGCTACTACTTTCCAGTGGAAGAGGCAACACTGCATTGTCGAAAATATTTTAAATGAAGAGAGCGTATTTTAAAATATAAGTATGCACATTTTCATGAATTTCTCCCAACTGATTCTCGATATAAATATAGTGTAAGCTGGTCGTGACATACCCTGTATAAAGTGAATATTAATAGTTGTTGCATGAAAATTGAGGGATACTAATCTGTGTGCGCGTGTAGATATATTGGATTTTGTAGTATTCTTAAACTCCCGCTTGGCTTGGTTCGGCTCAGAGAAGTGAGTCGAACGCCGAAGATATCGTCTTGAGATTAGGAGGAAAATTTATTTCAATGACATTTTCAGCTATACTCCCAAATTCATTTCCGGAGTACGTGTATAGACTATTATAATTTCAGATGTTGGTAACGGTTCAAAAGAAGCTCCCACATCTTTTGTTCTAATGATGATTATTCCACTGTGTACTGTACAATGAAAATAATAATAGATGAGTTTGAAATATATATACCGCATGGTCACTTGAGACTTTATTTATCAACCTAGAATGATTATTTGAAACATTTTATGATATATAGTGGATCCGAATACGTGAATCGTCAGAATATGTTCAAACTATAGCTCTTTCGAAAAAATATTCAAATATGGCAGATAATCACACTTGATGGTTTCAGCAGCTTTTTCTGCGATCATAATAATTGTTCCGACTGGATGACCACTCATACTAGTAGGCAAAACACTTGAATCTGCGACTCTCAACTTCTTCACCCCAAACACCCTAAGACGAGAGTCCACAATCGCTCTTTCATTCGGATCCGCCCCCATAGGACACGAACCTCTGACATGGAAGGCCGCTGTACAGGTTTGCCTCAGGAAACAGTACCAGTATTCCCTGGACAAGAACTGATAATCCTCACAGCCAGGCAGAGGTCTGCCTCTGTACTCAGGGTTGATACTCTGGAACGATGGCGTTTGTAGCAATTCGAAAACCCGATTGACACCTTCGTACAGCACTGCCATATCATGACCTTCTGGATCGGACATCATATTGAAATCGATCAGAGGGTAGTCGAAGGGATCGGCACTATTCAATCTGACAGTACCACTCGATCTTGGATTGACGTTATGAATGTTTATAGCTATGACGTTAGTGCTGTTGCCCCACGCAGTCTCGTAAGTTTCATTCCTCCAACCAGCGTATCTCACATCGAATGCTGATTTTTGCAGGGAAGCTGCTATAAATTCTATATCGGCATAGTGTTGTTCTTCGAACTGTGATTTTTGGAATGCCACCCCTGAGGTTGAGTATGCTTGAGTAAGACTACCTTCACCATTGAGAAACTGTTGCAGCCTTTCTTTGAGCGTTTCTACTGGCCTAGTCATATTTGTTGATATGTACAAGGCTTGGCATAACGGATCTTCCTTCAGTTGACTGCCCACTTCTAGATTCTCTATGACATGTATTCCCATATCTTGAAGGTGTTCTTTTGGGCCAATTCCAGAGAGCATTAAGATTTGAGGAGTCTGAAATACTCCTGCTGTTAGAATAACTTCTTTCTTAACATTGACCCTATGAGTTCTACCATGTCTTGTGAATATAACACTCTCTGCTTTCTTCGACAGTTTTTGTACCTCTATTTTAGTCACATAGCTCCCAGTCATGATATCAAGATTGCTTCTACGCAAGACTGGCTTTAGGAAGGCGTCGTAGACACTTTGCCGTCTTCCGTGTTTCGTGTAAAGCTGGAAAATTGAGGCGCCAAGCTGGGATCGACCATTATAGTCGATGATATCAGTACCCAGCTCTCTATGTCCTTGTAGGAAGAGTGTCGTCATAAAGTCCTCTGGGATTTTTTGTTCCACGTTGAGGTAACCGCCGCTACCATGGTATTTCCATTCCACTGGTGTATTCGGGTTTCTGAGGTGGAAATCTTCTGACTTCTTGAATAACCTTAAAACGTTGTCGTATGACCAAGTGGGATCGTTCGTAATATCTGCCCATTCATCAAAGGTCGAGGGCATTCCTCTCTCATACACAGCGCCGTTTATCAAAGAGGTACCGCCCATACCTCTCGCTCGAAAAGCACGACAGGACTGGTTGACGAAACCTGGAAGTAATGAATTGGTATTTCCCAAATAGATGTCAGGATAGTGGAAATATCACATTTGTTGAGAATAATTAGTGATGGGATATCCGCCCAAACAGATAAACTCACAAAAAGCGCCCAAAGACGCTTTGGTCATATTCCGGGCGCTCTTTGAGCGTTAACAGAATGCTTTGATTGCTTTGAAAAAGAACCTTGAGACAACAGAAGGCATATGGCGGTTGTTACTCACTGCTGTTGTTACTATAATAACTGGCCAAGTGAACTTGACAAAGAAGGTATAATCAATAGCCTTTATAAATCTTCAATGATCGAATAGACTGTTCGCCCGCGACACAGGGTTTATCGATGTTTCAAGTCGGTATGCCATTTAAGGGACCCACTCACTTAGTCCAAGTTAACCGGAAGGAGTGCCTTGGAGAGTCGCAACCCAGTCCTTGGTCCGACCCTGACCTTTCGGTTGGAAAAAAGTTCAAAATTTTGTTTAAGAAGAAGCTCGGCATTGAAGTGCAATGATCTCATCTCACGAAAATTGGGGCGCTTGCCGGTTTGCATACGCCTAGGTCACTCCCCAAGAGCAGCATACGAACCGGAAGTTTCAATTTCTCAGTGTTATAGTCGATGATCTAAGAATGTATGCCCTTTGGCGAAAAAATGAATTGGGGCCCATTAGTCAATTTCCCGACATTTGCATACGATTCCGAAGAGGGGAGCTCGACTTATTCGAACATCATTTGACTGGATATCCTTCAAATAATCGATAATCGAAGAAATGTTCAAATTATGACCATGGTTAGTGGACCACACAGTATATATGATATGATGGCTTGCATACAATTTGCAATTTCCGTACAGGGTGGTTCACCATAATTATCTCTCATTGTGACTTAGTTGTTTCTGAACCGATTTTGAAATTTCAAAAACCAATTAAAATGATTTACCTAAGAGATTTTTCATTGCAATTAAAAAATTCACAGGCTGTTCATAACAAATGAAATTATTAATATTCACCTTCAATAATATGGAAAAGCTAAACAAAAATAAAAAGAACCACGGATACAATACTAGAAAAAGAAATGATCTTCGTTTGCCTCTTCCACTCAGAATGCAGCACAGGAAATCCCCACTTTATGCTGGAGGCTATTTGTTCAATCTGCAAACAGAGTATAAAATCTATTCGATGTCCAAAGACAGTTGAAAGAATTTCTGCTCCACCATGAATTCAACTCCTTAGATGAGTACTGTGAGATCAAATCTCAAGATTTCTTAAACTATGTCTTTCGTACTCTGTCCTCTAACATTTTCAAATTTTAATTATTTTTAATCTATTCAGATGTAGTAATAATGTATTTATATTCCTTTTTTGATTTGTGTTATCTGGTGGATATGACCTGTAGAGATTAATAAAGTATCTATCTATCAAGACTGTCTTGCGAAAGTGTTAAATTTATCTTGTATTTGGTAAGGAAATAAAGCTTACTGCATTTCCTATCCATTTTCAACATACAATGATCGAATTTTTCTCCAAGCAGCATAGAAAGTGGCCCCTATCTTAACACTTCACAGGCAGAAAAGGTGTACTTTCTTTGTCTAGGTAGGAAAAATTATTGCTATGCAACGTTCCAAGTAATTTGAATGAAATTGATAATCAGAATTGACACTGACATTGGGCGAACACAAAATGATGGAAATTTCAATAAAAAAATACACAAAATTGGTTTTATTGCTCGCTACGCTCGGCTATGAACTATCAGCTGGGGCGGTTATTCTACTACTTTGCTGTCTAGTAAATCAAATAACTAGATATAATTGCGCCCAGGAAACGCCCGGGCGCATTTAATTGAGAAGCTGAGCGTAAATGAAAGAGCAGGGGGTAAACCCATTTCTAAGAAGAATACAGGTAATAGAGGTTCCAAAAATAAAATAAAATAAGTTCATGAACATTTGAGGTTACTCATGAGTTGTATGATTTCCGATGAGGAAATTTCTTGAAAAATAAATAAACTGGGACTGATGAGCCCGTTCTTCTCTGATTGCAATAATTTCATGAATTTATTTTCGTAATACTCCGATTGAAATTCTGGAAGATATTTCACTGAATCGAAATGTAGTAAAAACCACTAGAAATATAATTGAGTATTCGCCATATCTTATAAACAAATTGTTTTCCTAAATCTGGCCACCCAGTGAAACACAACCGCTATTCTTTGTAACTGCCATTTTTCCAGATGCCATCCTTTCTTAGTACTACCATATAAACCGATTCGATAAACAACCTGTAGAGTACTATTCGAGAATATCGCAAATAAATTTAGCATTATAATTGATAGTTAAATTACCTAGACAGGCAGTTGTTTGTGGAACAGTTCTGAAGCCCCAACTCAGGTCAGATAGAGCTAGAAATGCCGTGTAACCCAACATTTCATTGAATTCGCTGGTCACCACTTCTCCTGCTTCTAGTACAAGGATACTCCACTTTTTGATTTCAGATAATCGACTGGCGATAACAGATCCAGCGACACCACCTCCAATTATCACGAAATCATAAGAGTCAATGTCTGCAAGAATAAAAAATATTATTTTTTTCTGTGACGGGAAAAAAGTTTGGCATTTCATATCTGTTGGCAAGTTATAAAATGTCACTTTTCATAAATTACTTTTTTCCCGTGGAAAAAAAGTGAGTACTTTTTTCCCGGATATACAGGGTGAGTCAAAAATGTGTACCGAGCTTCCTGGGGGTGATAGAACATTTAAAAATAGGTGTAGTTTGATGATTAAACTCATGGCCCAAAATGCATATTAAGGGAGATATATCCTTCCAAAGTTGATAAAATTGAAATAATTTCTCCGCATAACTTCTGAACGATGAAAGCCACCCGATTGAAATTTTGTGCATAAATGTATGTTGTCAAAATACATTTTTCCGTCACACTTTCACATTTCTGATATTGTTATAAAGGGTGTTTTCAGAGGGTGAGTCATGATTTTTTGTAGAAAACTTTTTTCCCTGTATTATTTTCGGTGAAAAAACAGGAGCATTTGATGGAACGAAGAAAATTACATGAAAAAGGTACTCTTATTCAAATACAAAAAATTGAGCCGTTCGTGAGATATTTGAGTTTTTGTAGTTACATGATATCAGCAGATTGATTTTATTCATCGCGAGATCCATCGGTAACAATATTTTAGCAGGCCATGATCAATAATTTTGTTCTCAATTTTGACGTTCATGTCATCAACATTCGAGTCAACATTGTTGTAGTTGATTTGTTCGTGTGGTTTTTCTGTGTCATTTATCACTGCGATTATCAACTGAGATTTTAAGAAATATGGCAGGTTATTCGTTCTCTGAACAAACTGATATGCTTCTAATGCTTGGCGAGTGCTTCGGAAATGCAAATGCTGCTGTGAGACGATATGCAGAGATGTTTCCCGCTCGACGCGTTCCAAATTCGAGAACAATTTTGAGGATTGTACAAAGACTGCGTGAAACAGGATGTTTGAAAACCAATAATAGAAATAGTGGCCGACCCAGAAGTGCGAGAACTGTAGAAGTTGAAGAAGAAGTATTAAATACTGTGGAACAGGATCCGGAAATAAGTACAAGGAAATTAGCAAGACGAATAGACACAACACAAGCGAATGTAAACAGGATTCTCAAAGAGCAATAGCTACACCCTTATCATTATTTGCAGGTTCAAGAACTGTTACCACGAGACAATGAAATAAGATTGAGATTTTGCGAAGAGTTGCTGGAACGAACTCGAAGATGTCCTGAGTTTTTAAACAAAATATTGTTCACAGACGAAGCAACTTTTACTAGAAACGGTGTTTTCAATTCGCGCAACACTCATTTCTGGGCTGACGAAAATCCACACGTTGTTGAAGTAACGCATTTTCAATATTATTTCAAAGTGAACGTCTGGGCTGCGACTTCAGGAGACAAATTCGTTGGATACTACATGTTCCCAGGGTCTCTGAATGGTGCAATGTACCTCAACTTCTTAGAAAATGAGTTAGGTACGATATTAGAAGACATTCCTCTCAATCTGCTTTATGCATGATGGAGCACCACCTCATTATGTAAGAGTTGTACGTGAATGGCTTAATGATAATTTTCCTGATAGGTGGATAGGACGAGGCATAGACGCTCCTATTTCCTGGCCCGCTCGTTCGCCTCAATCCACTAGATTTTTCGATCTGGGGTTACATGAAATCTAGGGTTTATTCAAGCGAAATTCGGGATGTTGAGGAGCTGAGGACAAAATTTACGTTGTTGAAAAATGATCACCAAAGTATGAACGGTTTGATGAATAATTTACGTAAACGCCTCAGATTATGTATAACCGAAAACGGTGGACATTTCGAACAGCTACTTTAATTTGTTTTTTTCTTTTTTCTTCCATTCAAAATTATGTATTAATTAAAAGTACCAAAAACATTATCAAACTTTTATTTTTATTCAAACCTTGTTGGGACAGACTTATGCTATGTACTTATTGCTCAGTAACGTGGCACAGGAAGGTGATATTATCGACAAAATTAAAAACAAAATTGTTCATGGCCTGCTGAAATATCGTTATACCGATGAATCTCGCGATGAATGAAATCAATCTGCTGATATCATGTAACTACAAAAACTCAAATATCTCACGAACGGCTCAATTTTTTGTATTTGAATAAGAGTACCTTTTCCATGTAATTTTCTTCGCTCCATCAAATGCTTTTGTTTTTTCACCGAAAATAATACAGGGAAAAAAGTTTTCTACAAAAAATCATGACTCACCCTCTGAAAACACCCTTTATAACAATATCAGAAATGTGGAAGTGTGACGAAAAAATGTATTTTGACAACATACATTCATGCACAAAATTTCAATCGGGTGGCTTTCATCGTTCAGAAGTTATGCGGATAAATTATTTTAATTTTATCAACTTTGGAAGGATATATCTCCCTTAATATGCATTTTGGGCCATGAGTTTAATCATCAAACTACACTTATTTTTCAATGTTCTATCACCCCCAGAAAGCTCGGTACACATTTTTGACTCACCCTGTATATCACATATATATATATACACTGTTGATGGCTTTCGTTGTGCTATAGTTCCGAAAAACGAGTCAATAATACCGTCTCCGAGAAAGAACTGCAAGCCCTTTTATCTTCCATTCGACTTCGCGGTTACGTATATTACAACCACTAAATCAAATCACAGAATTAGACTGACAGACGTGACATCAAATATTTGATTACTTCAAAAGAATGATAAAGATGCCGAAAACGCAGGTGACCCTACACAAAATATAAAATATCTGGGTATTATAATTGATGTCAACCTGAAGTGGGATATACATGTGTAAAAACTCACGCAGAAAATAAGAAGTCTGTTATCTAAATTCAAATATCTCAGAAATTTTCTTGATATAAACCAACTTCTCATGATGTATTATTATGCCTTGGTTGAATCACAGTTGAGATATGGGATCATTGCGTGGGGTGGGGCCTATGATAATCAAATAAAGTATTTGGAAATTATCCAAAAATTGATTCTCAAAATAATATTCAGGAAAAAAATCACTCACTCCTCAGAACAATTATTATATAAGACTGCTGGAGTCCTGGGTATTCGACAAATATTTTGTTCCATTATTGTTCTGGAACAAAAGAAGTCAACAAACTTTAGAACAATTGAACATAATCATGATACACGAACAAAACATAACTTTTCCATACCAAAAGTAACGAAAACACTGGCACTTAGATGTTTCACATACCTCGGACCTCGGACATACAACAAATTGCCAGATGAAATTAAAAAACTTAATTCACTAGACATGTTAAAAAAAATACGTGAAAAAATGGCTATTAAACTTACCAAGATGTACTGCACACAAATTTATCGACCTGAAATTGTCTGTATGATAGGAAATAAAGCAATTTTTTTTTCTCTTTTTTTTCTCTGGTTTTTCTATGCTTTATTTTGAACTCTCATTCATTTTTTATCCTATTTTTTCGAATTTATATTGTATAATTTCATAGTATTGAAATATTCACATTGTAACTTTTATCTTTGATAGAAGTTTTGATGTACAAGATTTAATTTTGCAGACAAGTCTTGAATTTTGTGATTCAGATTTATTGCTCCCATAATATTACATATTATATGTCAACCGTATAATTTTTGTTACATATAGCCACTTACAGTAGATTTATTATTTATACTTTGATTATTTTTTCGCATATTATATATCTACCCATGTATGATGATGAGTTGATAAATTTTTATTTTTTTTTCTTGATTAAGGCATAAACAGCTAGGTCATTAGCCTTCATTATTATTATTATTATTATCATTATTATTATTATTATTATTATTATTATTATTATTATTATTTAAGTTCATGTAATTCCAGTCACGACCCTGCGGCCTCCGACGTCACGCAGAGTCGTGCTGGATAAAATCCAGTGACTACTCCTCACAGCCTGTGAGGTGAGTAATCACTGGGACCAAGTACCGTCTGCCCTGAGTAGACGCAATGATCCTAGTATGACGGCCTTCTGCATACCACCAGCCAGGATGTGTGCCTTATCACGGCACGCTGGGATTTTCTGGATCTCCGAGAGTAGCGTGTGTCGTGTGCCTCCTAGGGAGCCGATTATCAGGATGACCAATTCCGCAGAATGGTCTGGATAGAGCCGGCGGAGTTCGAAGAGAAGATCTCGATATTTAGTCCGTTTCTCCTCCTCCTTCAAAACGATGTTCGGTTACGGTAGACGAGAGTGTTGGAAATCCCATCCTGGCATGCCATGATGAACCCCTCTGTTTCCGATTTGAGCCCGCCTGACTTAAGAAAAGCGATAAGCCCCGGTCTTCAATGGTCTTAAAGTAGACCGAATGCATGGGCTTATCCATGTGAAGCTGCAGGAGCTTTTTTACTTCTGCAGCTTTGATGCGGGCTTTTCTCCGAGCGGGTTCTAGCTCAGTAACTGAGTCCCGAGCCTCGCGCTCGGAGTCGAAAATCACAGACAATTCATCGGCTGCTCGGCATGCTGCCCTGTAAAGGAAAGCTCCGACTCCTGCCTCTTCATGAGTTTTAACCATTTGCAGAAGGGGATCCGAACTCCTGATGACTTTGCAGGCACCATCCAGAACCATTCTGTTATGGAGATACTCCAAGCTCAAGAGTCCACGGCCACCCTGGTCTCTAGGTATGTATATAACCGTGGAACGGACGAATTTGGATGCAGACTCCTATGGAGATGCATCATCTTGCGAGTACTTACGTCAAGTTGTCGCAGCTCGACTTGAGTCCACTTTATAACTCCAAATGAGTAAAGTAGGATCGGAACAGCAAGCATGTTAGTCGCAGCGACTTTGTTCTTCCCCGACAGTTCTGACGACCAGATCTGTCGGAGCCGCTGCTGATACTTGCTGCGGAGAGCGTCCTTTACCCGTTGTGCCTCCTGGATGTGAGTTTCCTCTACACCCAGGTAGGTGTACGTCTTTCCGGCATCCAGGTGGTGTAGGATGCTTCCGTCCACGAGCTGCGCGTCCT